AAGGAGAGCCATCCAAGAGGGCGACCTGCACATTGACTTCCCCAAGGTGAGCTATGCCGACTTGGAAGATTGGGAGGAGGAGACCGCCCTGGGTGGGAAGGGGCCCCGCAAGAAACTCTTGCCAGACCGCATGAGGGCCGCTTGGGACAGAGCCAACCAGAAGCTCGTAGACTTCATCGTGAAGAGAAAGGGGGCAGACCAGCACCTGCTGGACATCGTAAAGGGCAGGAAACCGTCCAGGTGGCTGGACAACCTTTGGCGATTCAAGAGGGAAGTCTACTGCATTGAGACCTACCTGGAGGATGAGGACCAGCTGCATCTCGTAGCCAGACACTTGCAAGAAATATCCAAGGAAGCAGACGAGGCCCTGCTCGCGTTGGCAAGAGGAGACAAAGTCCGATTCACCATGGAGGTCCTTCTTCCAGAAGCAATCATCTGCTCCATCGCTGCCCTGGAGGAGCTCAGCTACAAGGAGGCGGAGGAGAAGTACCTGCGTGGCCCACCCGTGCACCATCGTGAGAAAGAGCTCTTTGATAAGACCATCCTAAAGGCGGCCCGGAAGAGGTCAGCAGCCAGGATAGGTGCTGCCAGGGACCCCTCTTTAACCATTCCTTAGAGGGAGCTTCGTCCTTCCAGCCATCGCCCCTGCAGCTCCACCTCCAAAAGAGGACCACCTGGGAGACTGTGGGGCTTGAAAGATCCTCACGGCAGGCATACTGCGTTGCTTCCCCCTCCCCGCCCCCAAATAAATGTTCACGTCAGTGCTTGGCTGACGGTGCAGATGTCTCCACCGGTTTGACGCTTCCTGCTAGTTTCGGGCCAGGCCTAGCCTTCTTTGGCCTGTGCCCAAGTCCAGAGACGCCCCGTGGCGTGGCGGTGCCTCTCTGGACCGTCACCAGCCAGGGCTGGAGCATTAGCTAGCTATGCACACACAGCCTTGCACTCGAAGCATGGACCCCACGCACCCAGACAGCACGCCAGGTCCCTGATGACACTGTGTCTCCGCCTGCACCCATACTCCCTGTCCTCTCTAGGGTGCTATGGGTGGGGTCCAGCTACACTGCTTTCTCCACTACCTCGTGTTTTGCCCACTCACAATGCTGAAGGAGAGGAACAGATAGATGTGTGCTTCGCAGCCAAAGAAAGGGTTGGAAACGTTCTGACCCTGGAGATAGCATGATTTCAAAGGAATCTCTCTTTCTCTCTGTCTCTCTGTCTCTCTCAGAATGTGTGTGGGTGTGTGTTTTGTATGTGTGTGTGTTAGAGAGAGAGAGAGTGAACATGTGACATGTGTTTCCTTGTGTGTGTGTGTGTGTGTGTGTGTGTGTGTGTGTGTGTGTGTGTATACTATTGGTTGTTACAACTCAGAACACAGATACCATCAGCTTCCTATGTAGCCTGATCCTACACGACTCCTTTTGGTAATGGCACCTGCTGGCTTTCCAAGATAGAGTCCTTAATAGTCAAAAGCAGGGACCCATGGTTTATCTTTGATGACATATAAATAATACTACTAATTAGTATGATGAAATGTAGAGTTATCTGATTACAGGCATGAAGAGCAGGACACCAGGCTAGGATTTATGGATAAGAATGGCAATCTCAGACCTCAACTGGTTGCCTCTAGTGGTGGGAGGGATTTAGATGTAAGAAACAAAGCAACAGGGAGTAAGTTTCCTGCCTCCTGTGCTCAAGTCATCTAATAGTAGTCAGTCTTTTGTAAAAAGAGGTAAGCCCAGCGAAAGAATAGGCATGCAAAAGTGCTTTAAGCACCCTAGTTGATATATCTGAATTTTTAAATGTCTGAGGGGCATCCAAATATGCACTGTGATGCATATTGTCAGAGCTGGAGAAGGTATTATTACCACCACAGAACATCTTTGGAAAGCATGTCCAAGTTCTAACAAAGGAATAGGAAGAGGAGAAGAAGGTGGGAGAGGTAGAAGTATAATTTCAACTGAAAGGCAGGAGTTCAGTTCAAATACAGGAAGAGGGGTTCCAGAAGCCAAGAAAGGAAAGGCTACAAAAGGAAAAGCTACCAACTGCTGAGAGATAGATACACTGGATATAGACAAGGGATAATGGAAATACTGCTGAGGTATCACAACCCTTGCCCTGGTATAGAAGGCGGAAAGTGGGCCTGTAAAGAAGCAAAATACGCACTTGGAGAGAGGGAAGGGAGGGAAAGAGAGACAGAAGAGGCAAGTCTAAAACCTTGGCCAGCTGGTAATGCTAGATCATCCTGCATATTTATATTCTCAATGGAGTGCCTTCTCTGAGTAAAGACCCTGGGAAAATTACACCCAAACCAAAAAAGAAGACAGGGTATTTATTGTATGAGCCATGACAGGTCAAACAGACAATTTCAGTACACAGAAATTCACATCAGACATTAACAGCAGTAACTGGCCTGCAGGAGAACAGGCAGTTTGGGTCCTGGAGACTGAGTTAGGCAGGAATTAGGTACTTTAGGCCAAATGAGAAATTAGGGTTGTAACAGAAGCCTTACAATTCTCTTTTTTTCCCAAAGCAGTTAATATACAGTAGGAATCACAAGGACAAGAAAGAGAACCATACATGACAGGCTGAACACCAAGTATGAGATCAAGTTGAATGTAACCTGTTTAGGGCAATAGTTTAGGGCAATAGTGTACACAATGAGGGTGCCTTCAGATTTGAGGCTAGAAACTTTCTCCTGAAAATGGGTCAAAGATCTGTGTGTAGGATGGGGCTAGGCATGAGGAAGGGACAAAAGAGATTCACAGAACATGGACCAGGAGTGGAAGATGAAATTGTAAGAAAATGTATATCATAACCTATTAAGGAAATGCCAAGAACATATTGATGCATCTGGTGTTAATTTGCCCCTTAGGATGTCCGATGGACAAGGTTGAAAGGCTGCTTGGGTTGTAGGACACAGGCAAGCACTACCACACTGCTAATGGGAGAGAACATTGGTTGTCCCACTAATAGCAGATGATGTATTAATGGATGCCTTCTTGGATTCAGCCCAAGTTTCAGCAAGGCCACTTTCTGGTATATACCCCAGAGTCACTGCCAGAGGTTCAGGAAAGCAGGTAGGATTCAGAAGGCAGTACTGTCTAAGACAGTCCAGTCCAACATGACAATAACCTAATTAAAGTCCCCAACAATGAGCCAAATCAGTATGAGTGAAATGGATACCATCCTGGGAAAGTTTTACCCATACTAAAAGTATGGTGCCCAAACAAAGAAAAGGGAGACCAAGAGAGGTATGACCTTCTGTGGACCTGCTTGCCCTCTCACTGGCAGACAGATATTGTGCATGTGCCCCTGAACTCTTGATGATTGGAGAGAAAGTGATAAAACTGGCAGGGCCTGAAACTCTGTTTTGAGTCAGGGTAGTACAGCTCTGAGGGGATGCCTAGTCCAGGCAGCAGAAACTTAGGTGGGGGCTGACTGATGGAAGACAACTGATGGTAAACATAGAGAGGCTTCTGGTGCCACTCAGCACCAAGAAAGTTATGACCCAGAGCCTAGAAGGACATTGACAGGAAAACATTGAGCATCTCACTGTCATCACAGTGCTTTCTACATGAATTTAAGCACATTTCCCAGAAACTCTGAAGTTTTCTGTGACTAGAAGGGGTAGGGACTGACCCAAAGACAGTGAGATACAAGTCCAAGGGTTTGGGCTTCCAATCTCAAAAGCAGCTTTTCAAGAACCTGTATATACAGCAGGAAAAGCATGCCTGATCCTGGACCATTCTCCTATAAACTAGCCTCTGGCACCAAGGGCAGCCCCTTCCCCTGGGGTGGGCATCATCCAGATAGTGCATGCTCTGTAGGGAGTGGTGCAAAGGCGTCTGTGAGCTCATGTAGTATCCATCCTTTTCTGAGGCTCTACCTAGCCCAGGGGCTGCTTGCCCAGCTCTGTCACTGGACTAGGTCCACATAGGAACTCATCAGGGTTAAAATCCTCAGAGCACCTGCTCCCTAGCCTTGATCAGGAGACAGAGCTGGAGGGGGCACCATAGCTTTCTGGTGCCCTTCTGTGGAGACACCTGAGCACTCTGTGTCCCCTGTGCCAGAGGCATAGATGTGTGGTGGGGGAGGGATCATCATCAGGTGATGTCACTAGAAGCCAGCCCAGTGAGACTCCCATGAGGCCTCAGGTTGCCAAGAGCTAGGCAACAGCCTTGTCTCGTGACCATTCTGAGCCAATGACTTAACTGGCCAGCTCCTGGAGAACATAGGGGGGTCTGTGCTCCTTGGCCACCACATCACCGCCCGCCCGGAGTCTGCACTGCAGACAGAGCAGCTTAAGCGTGTGCCTGGACATTGTTCTACGTGAAAAGAACATAGGAGGTCTGTGCTCCTTGGCTACCACATCACCGCCCACCCGGAGTCTGCACTGCAGAGAGAGCAGCTTTAAGCGTGTGCCTGGACTGTTTTTCCTGACAGAGCAGCGATACGGCTAGAGAGAGCAAAGGAGCTGGCTGGCGAGAGAACGGAGAACAGCCCGGGAATCCTTGCTGTGGGACTGAACAAAGAAGGATCCTGCTCCTAGGAGGTACCAAATCCTGGGCGGGTACTACTAGCCCTGACAAACCCCGCCCCAACCCGCAGGCCTGCCTGAGCTGGACTGCAGGAAGGCACTAGGCTGGGGAAAGCCTGTGCCTGAGGCATGGGATGGGATGCACAACCCTTGTCTAAGGCAGTGGTTCTCAACATGCCTAATGCTACATTGATCCTGGACCATAAAATTATTTTCATTGCTACTTCATACCTGTAATTTTACTGCTGTTATGAATCATAATGCAACCATCTGTGTTTCCCAGTAGTTTTAGGAGACCCCGGTAAAAAGTCTTTTGACCCCGAAGGGTTGAGACCCACAGATTGAGAACCTTTGCTCTAGGGATAGTGGATGAAAAGGGGCAGGGGTGGGGGTGTGTGGACATTAACCTCCTCTTTCCCTGTTTTTGTTTACAGGCTGTGGAGATCTAGGCTGATCTCCCTAAGTGAGCCCTGTCACAATCTAACCTGCTTCTGGCCCTCGTGTGAGCCTTGGAAAAATTTCAGGCTATGGCGGTGGAGATGCTACAGGATTGGTGCAGGTGGATGGGTGTCAGTGCTCGTAAGGGCCTACTTATCTTGGGCATCCCGGAGGACTGCAGTGAAGCTGAATTCCAACAGTCCCTGGAGGCTGCCCTGAGGCCCATGGGCCACTTTACTGTGCTGGGTAAAGTATTTCGTGAGGAGGATAATGCCACTGCAGCTCTGGTTGAGCTTGACCGTGAAGTCAACTATGCTTTGGTCCCAAGGGAAATCTTAGGCACTGGGGGTCCCTGGAACGTTGTCTTTGTGCCCCGTTGCTCTAGTGAAGAGCTTCTTGGCCATGTTTTCCACTTCTTGGAGCAACAGGGGCTGACGGTGGACAGTGTGCCTGGAGCCCTGGGTCTGGAGTTGGACAGAATGTGCAGGCTCCAGTCAGTTAGTCAGGCAGTTCAGCCCTGGGTGGAGACGTTGCGGTACCAGCGTTTGGGTGTGTTTTCTGGGATGGTTCAGCCAGCCCCTGGGGAAGAATACTTTGAGGCCTGGCTACAACACACAACTGACATGTTTCAGGTATGGCGAAGTGTCCCAGAAAGGGAAAAGAGGAGACGATTGCTGGAGGGCTTGCGAGGGACTGCTCTGTACCTTGTACATGAGCTGTTAGCAGAGAATCCAGAAAAGACTGCAGAAGACTGCCTAGGGGCCCTGACCCAGGTATTTGGAGACAAAGAGTCTCAGGCCACCATCCGAATGAAGTGTCTGACTGCTCAACAGCAGTCAGATGAGCAGCTCTCTGCCTTTGTGTTGAGGCTAGAAGTGCTGCTGCAGAAAGCTGTCCAGAAGGGGGCTCTGGAGAAAACCTCCACTGATGATGTCCGCTTGAGGCAGGTGCTCACCAGGGCTAAACTGTCTGAGCCACTGGTTGAAGCTCTGAGGAGGCTGACAATGACTGGGAGATCTCCAACTTTCCTCGAGTTGTTGGGGCTTATACGGGAGTCTGAGGTATGGGAGGCAAGACTAGCCAGCAACATTGGAGCACAGGTGTTGGATGAAGTTGATGATCTGCCTCTTGACCAGGCTGATGGCAGAGCCATTGCTAAGGCAGAAGATGAGAATGTGGAAAAGGAGGAAGATGATGTGGTGGAACAGGCAGAGGATGAGGTTGAAGAAGAGATAGAAAACCATAACCCAGAACACGGCTCTGTAGAGCCAAGACATGCAGGACCTGATGAGTCCCCTGGGGCTCCCACCCCAGCTCAGATGGGCAGTTCTCCTAGAGAGTGCCCAGGGGGACCTGGCTGGGTGCTGGGCAGCCTTGCCTAGGCAGGAGAAGATAAGGCAGAGGCCCCATCCTGTACCAGCCTAGAACTATTAATGAAGGATCAGCCCCAGCGTAGAGGAGAGGGCTTACAGATATCTGCTATACCCCCTGGCCTGGAAGATATTAGGGAGAAAGAGTCTATATTATAAGGATTCTGATTGCCCTGCTCTTCTAACCAGTCAGCATACCCAGACAGGTTTATGACACTGCCTTGGGAATCTCATCCTTACCTATACTGTTCACAGTGACCGAGTTATTGAGTATGCACTTTCATACTAGCTCTCCCATCCATAACACCCTAGGCAAAGTGTACCAAACCCAGATGGGCAGAAGCCCTAACCCACCTAGCTAGTCATCACTATAGCCCAGCTTGTGCTGTGAACTTCCATGCCAGCCAAGGCCCCATTTGCTCTGCTCCTAACTCATGTTGTGTATTTCTGGTCAGCTTTCTTGATATACTTGCAGGTCAGCCACTTGCTGCTTGTTCCCTGCAGATGGGTGTGTTCTTACCTGAAAAGGTCCTCCACAAAGATTCCAAGCCAAGTCCTTGGAACCAGCCAAAGGGATATATGATTACAATCAGGGACTGACTGATGCTCATCTTGTGGCTGATTTCAACCTGGGGTGGGCATGAAGACCTGGACTAAGGATGGGTGGGATCTGAGAACCAAGATTTAATGATCCACTCTTGTTGTTACTTGTGACACTAGTTCCTCACTTTGGTGAAATGTTCCTTTCTGTGCTTCCCAGTGTTCAGTGACTGTATTATGCCAGAATAATTCAGGATCACCCTGCAATGAGTGATTCTTCTAGAGTCCCCCTAAAAAGAGAGAACATTGTCAGATGCCATCTGGAAAGAGGCATATCAGGGGTCCCTGGAAAGGAAGCTGAGGGATGTAGACCTCAGCGAGGCAAGCAGATGAGGTCCTTCCCCATGAATCACACAATGGGATGAGGTTGTACCTGTGCCTCCAGCAGCTACTGGGAATGTCTGTGTTGTCATCCCCTTGCTTTTAATGGCTTCAGTAAATGTGTCTGTTCAATAAATTTCATGGGTGTTATACTTGCATCCTGTCTTTCTGGGCTTGGGCTGGGCTGGAGCAAGGTTGGCATATATGCAGGGCAGGAACATGAAGGGCTGTGAGAGGGGTGGGGGCTTGGGTTGATAAGAGCAGGCTGACCAGTGGCTCGTATGTGGTGCTATTTTGTTTATGACTTAATAAAGCTTACCTGAAGATCAGAGTGCAGAGCTAAGCCACTAGTTAGACATAGATGACAGACAGTGGTGGCCACATCTGGGAGAAAGAGGCAGATGGATCTCCATGAGTTCAAGTCCACCCTATGCTACATGAGAGTGAATCAGTGCAAAAGAGAAAGAGCTCACACCTTTGATCATAGCATGACAGGCCTCTAATCCGAGCACTAGAGTGGACTATAAAGCAGGAGATAGGAGTAGTGCAGTTTGAGGTTTGGTGGAGAGCATAGAAGTCTGCAGTCACTCTCAGAACAGGATCACCCAGCTTTGATCTGAGCCTTGGTAGAGGTGAGAACTCTCTAGTGGCTGGCCACTTTGTCTTTCTGTTCTTTAGGCAAGCTTTATTGGATCATAAATAAAATATCACCACACTGGTGTGGGGGGCAGTGTTTATCTGCCTTTCAGTGGGGAAAATAACAGGAGATAGGGATGAATCAGTTATGTGCTCAAGTGAGGCTATGGGGAAGCAATCAAGGCCCTTGGCCCCAATATGTCTAACTGCTAGATGTTTCAGTTAGGAAATCATTCCCACAGAACTCAAATGCCATTCTTTTTTTCACTAAAACATCAAAAAAAGAAAAAAAAGTCAGTGGAGCCACAAAAGGCTGTAAATTGTCACAGTTCTCCTGAAGGAGAAAACCAAAATTGAAGGCATTAGGCTTTCTGATTTCATCATATATTACACAGATATAATGATCAAAAGAATGCAGTGGCCAGGAATGGTGACAAACACTTATAATTAGATCACTGGGAGTAAGAGGCAGGAAGATATCTGATTTCAAGGCAAGGCTGGTGTACAGCCAGAGCTACATAAAGAGAATCTATCTCAAACAAACAAACCAATGAACACAAGTATGGCATTGACATCGAGGTGGGTATCAATGGGATGGGAAAAAGAGACAAGAAACTACCCCACAGAAACACACCCACAGAAAACTGATTTATAGGGGAAGGTGCCCCCAAAATACCACAGTTGGGGAACGTATGGTCTTTTCAGCAAATAGTACTCAGGAAACGACTCATGTATATGTTGAAGAAAGGATTTTTGACCCAGACATTGTTCTGAGAGCATTTTTTAGTTATCACATCAAACCTTTAGGCAGCAAAAACATACAAGATTTCCTCAAACTATAAATGTTATTCATAGAAAAAGGAAATAAAATCAACATCTTTGGATTGGGGGAAAACATTTGTGAACTTTAAACTTCATGGGAGGTTTAATATCTCAAATATCAATGAATTAGTAGAGCTCAATAACAAAAAGTAGGCAAGCAAACAAGAATTCCCAAATAATCTGATTTAAAACTGGACAAAAGCGCTCAGTAGATAGCACAGCCAACAAGTATATTAAAATGTGCTCATTACCACCACGAATTAATGAAATGCAAACCAAAAGCACAATGTGAGACTACTCCAGATAAGTTGGGTAGCTACTATTAAAAACACAACAGAGTAGAGCTGATGCACACACAAACTCACAAGGACTGTGACAGCATGCACAAGACCTGCACAAATTCAAGCCAGGCAAACTTAGGACAGAGATAGTAAAGAATGTATAAAGTCCCACCTCCTAACCAAGAAGCTATTTGCAAACAATACATGCTGGGAAAGGGAAAATAAGTTTTCATTAATTAATGGAGTAACAGTGGGTATATCAATTCCACTGTAGGGCAGGCCCCATGTTCAAGAGTAAATGGCAATACAAAACAGACTCTGTGGTCTTTTTTATTGTTTTTGTTTGTTTGCTTGGGTTTGGGTTTTGATTTTTTTTAAAGAGAGGTGGGGGGAATGAAGCAGGGAAGAGTTGGGGAAGGGGAAGGATATGATCACAATATATGAAAATTAAAAAAATAAACTTTTAAAAAATCACAGCAAACAGCAAGTGCTGGAGTGGGTGTGGAGAAAAATCAAGGTATTTTTCACTGCTTATGATGATGTCATATGTTACACAAAAATAGTATGAATATGCTTCAGACAGTTAAAATTAGACCTATCATATGACCCAGTGATCTTCTGTTGAGTCTACATGCAAAACATATAAAATCAGCACCATGTTGAAATTGTCATGTTCCCATGTGCACTTGTACAGTATTCACAATTACCAACCCATGGAAACAATCCAAGTGTCCACCAATGAGTAATGTGATGGGATTTTGTGTGTGTGTGTGTGTGTGTGTGTGTGTGTGTGTGTGTGTGAGAGAGAGAGAGAGAGAGAGAGAGAGAGAGAGAGAGAGAGAGAGAGTCAAAACTTGATACTCTCATAATAGAGTATATAGAACTATGCTCTTTCTTGTTTTGGAAATTTCACATCCAGAGCTGAGGCAGGAGTTAACCTCCTGTATCCTCGCTGTGTCCTTTACTATTCATGACACATCAAGGGCCACAAGTGTGAATTAAAAATATCATGGGTACAACAGTGCCTGTGCCTCAGCAGTGGACTACTGTTCCCAGGAATCTCTGGATAGCCTCTTATTTTTTCCCCAGCTGTACAAAAGACTGAGCCACTGGCTGGTGTTCTAGTCATGTATGGAAAATGGAGGAGGGTATGGGGAGCATTCATGGCATTCTACAGAACTGCCTCTTAGAGTTCAGGGTAACTTCACAAATTTAGATTCCCAAGCCAGGAGGTTTAAATATGAGGCAGGATGAGGCATGTGGTGTGTGTGTGTGTGTGTGTGTGTGTGTGTGTGTGTGTGTGTGTGTGTGTGTGTTCAGAGACAAAGAAAACGAACCAGGAATGGAGTTCCTGTGGAGGTCACCTTTCACCTTGTCTGAGACAGAAGCTATTCATTGTTCGCCCTGCCTCTGGCTTTTTGTGAGTTTCAGGGATTTGAACTGAGGTCCTCAAAGTTGCTTGGCAATCATTTTTCCAATGAGCTAAATCCCCAGCCCTATTTCCAATCCTTGAGCCCTAAAGAGCTCTCTGCAGGAACATTACTGGTCCAAGGGTTTGATGCAAGGCCACTCCTCAGATGGGAACTTAGGGAAACCTTAAGAGAACACGCAAAAACTAATCAACTCTCAAGCTGGGGTGGACCAGGAGGGAAGTAGCTCCTTTCTCAGACTTGAGGAAGGAAAGCCCAATAGTAGGTACACTGGATTTGGCACCCCAGTGGATTTTTCTTTTAAAGTAAAAAGTGTCTAATTCTGCCTGGTTCTGTTAATGCTCTCAGTGGTGTCTGAGACCACCAACCATGGGTGAGGGTGTAGGGTTTGTGTTGTGTAATAGTAGCATAATGCAGGCCATATATGTGCTTTTGAAATGTACTAGATTTTCTATTGAGTCAAAACAAACTAAGAAAACGAATTTAATTTTTTTTATTTTACCCAACAAATCCAAATGTATTATTTCAATATATGATCAACACAAAATGTTACTAAAAATACTTTTTTTGTTGTTTAAGTTTTTGCATCAACTCTTTGAAGTTGGTATGTATATGGCCTGAATAGCACATGCCAACAACACAGACTTGCCAAGTGTTCAGTACCTTAGAGTCATGTGGTAGCCTTATTGTACTGCATAACTCCACAGTGTTGTGTGGAGCACTTCCACATGCACATCTGGGTATGGAGTAGTTCATATGTAACCTTGGACCAGGTGGAAACCTTGCCTTGCCTTTCCTCTCATTTACTCCTTTGATTTTGGCTTACATTTATCCATGCACTGATGATTCTTTTCTCTCATTTTGAACTCTGGTGCCTTTGAAGCAGCAGATGATGATGCCACTTCCTCTGCTGGGACCACACAATCAATGTAGGCATTTTCTGTTGTATGTGCTTGTATACTTGAAAATATAACTAACTTAACTCTAAGTTTTGGCTATCATAGGTAACTATCTGTAATCTGTACTAAATTATACATTATATTTCTAAATGATCTATATAAACACAATACCTAAACAAGAGGAGAAATGTACACATCACAAAATTTACCTTAAATTGTATCAATAAATAAAATCCATTCCAAAGCAAAATATCCATATCTATACCATAGAGCAAAAGATCACCAGCCTACAATCCACACAGCCAGAGAAGCTAGGAAACAAGGATGACTCTAGGAGAAATATATATGGCCCATTACACAAGGAACAAAATTTCCTGAGCAAATTGGGAGTGGAGGAGGGAGGGCGGGGAGAGGGAGGTAGGAGTAAGAGAAGGGGAGAAGAGGAGGGGAGAGGAGAACATGAGGGAGCAGGAAGGTTTAATTGGGAAAGGAATAGAGGAGAACAAGAAAAGAGATATCGTATTAGAGGGAGCCATTATAATAGGTTCAAAGAGAAATCTTGCACTAGGGAAATGTCCAGAGACCTACAAGGATGACCCCAATTAACAATCTAAGCAGTAGTGGAGAGGCTACCTTAAAGGCTCTTCCCCTATAATGAGATTGATGACTACCTTATATGCCATCCTAGAGCCTTCATCCAGTAGCTGATGGAAGCAGAAGCAGACACCCACAGCTAAACACTGAGCCAAACTCCTGGAATCCAGTTGCAGAGAGGGAGGAGTGATGAGCAAAGGGGTTAATACCAGGCTGGAGAAACCCACAGAGACAGCTGACCTGAACAAGTTGAAGCTCATGGATACCAGATTGATAGCTGTGAAACCAGCATAGGACCAACCCAGACCCCCTGAATGTGGGTCTTAGTTAGGAGGTCTGGGACTTATATGGTACCTCTGACAGTGGAACCAGGATGTATCCTAAGTGCAGGGACAGACTTTCAGAGGCAATTTCCTGTGGAAGGATATACCCTT